ATCTTGATGGTTGGTGCTATCCCTGCTGCAATGACGTATTACTCAAGATCCAAGATGCCTGAAACCGCAAGATACACGGCGTTGGTTGCTAAGGACGCAAAGCAGGCTGCTTCAGACATGTCTAGGGTTTTGCAAGTGGAGATAGAGGCAGAACAGGAGAAAGTGGAACAGATCTCGAGTAACAAGTCCAAAGCCTTTTCCTTGTTTTCCAAGGAATTCATGAAACGCCATGGGCTTCATTTGCTTGGCACTACATCTACTTGGTTCCTTCTTGACATCGCTTTCTACAGTCAAAACCTTTTCCAAAAAGATATTTTCAGCGCGATCGGGTGGATACCTCCGGCTCAAACCATGAACGCGATTCAAGAAGTTTTCAAGATCGCTCGTGCACAAACTCTTATTGCCTTGTGTAGTACGGTACCTGGTTACTGGTTCACAGTTGCGTTTATAGATGTCATTGGAAGGTTTGCGATTCAGATGATGGGATTCTTCTTCATGACGGTGTTTATGTTTGCGTTGGCTATTCCATACAATCACTGGACTCACAAGGAGAACCGGATTGGATTCGTTATCATGTACTCTTTAACGTTCTTTTTCGCCAACTTTGGACCTAATGCTACAACATTCGTTGTACCGGCGGAGATCTTTCCAGCTAGGTTCAGATCAACCTGCCATGGTATCTCTGCCGCATCAGGAAAGTTAGGTGCAATGGTTGGTGCGTTTGGATTCTTGTACTTGGCTCAAAGCCCTGACAAGAACAAGACTGATGCAGGATACCCTCCGGGTATTGGAGTTAGGAACTCGCTTCTCGTGTTGGGTGTGGTTAACTTCTTGGGCATTCTCTTCACTTTCTTGGTGCCTGAATCTAAAGGGAAGTCGCTTGAGGAAATGTCCGGTGAAAATGAAGACAATGAGAACAGCAACGATAGTAGAACGGTCCCAGTAGTGTAGTTTGATATGATATATATGTCTTTTGTTTCTATTTTTCTCTTGTCTTCTTGTTTCTAGCAACTTAAGTTGTTCTTCGTTTGATATTTTTATGTTCTAATGCTATTGAGATCAAAATGTTTGTGTATCAATTTTAAAAGAAAAGTTCTTCATCATCGATTTTGGATTAAGGCAACAAGTGAGTTTTTAATTTTGTGCAATGTTCTTATTAATAGATCTAAGTGATTACACAAGTAGTAGCAACATTGTACCAGCCAAAAAGCTAAATCTCAAACAAAAATAAGCTGGATAAAGACACAAACTTAAAAAAATTTAACAGTGTTAAGAAAGATATAAAATCGCCACTCAGTAATTAAAATCAAGTGCCAAAAATAATAATTACTATTTTATTAGTAGTTAAATATCTGAATTATGAATTCTTTTTTTTTGTCATGGGCTTGCTTAAATTTATAATAGGTCCACACAAAACAAAAGATTACAAAGAAAGATAAGGTAAATGGGATTAAGTTAGCTTAATCTACCGAAGCTAAGAACTTAGAAGGAGATAAACCACAAAAGAGATAAGAAAACTGATCCTTAGATGTGAGATCCATGACCACCACAACCCGCTTCCTTGACCAAGAAAATTTTACTGAATTATGAATTCATTGTTACAAACCTATGATTTATGAGTTACACATGGTTAATAAGTTTTAATAATCCATTAGGACTTTTAGGAAACATATATAATATCTGTTGGAAAATAAAATGGACTGGAAGAAAATTAAAGCTGAAGTT